GCAATTCAGCTCGCCCTTCAAGTAGAAACGGCCATGCTGGAAGCCCGCACATTGCAACCTTCCCTAGTACAACACGTCTCGCAGAAACCTTTCCGTGTTCACAGAGAATCGAAACACCTTCCCCCTCAAGCAGCTAAGTCATCTTCAGAGCGTTGTGGTCGCTCTTCGGGAAAACGATGCACAAATTGTGGTTCTGGTTCACACAACACACATAACAAGGCCTGTCCCGCCCGTGGGATGCAGTGTCGATCTTGTGGGAAAGCAAATCATTTTGCGAAATGGTGTCGCTCAAAACCAGCTGCAGGGAAACAAGTTGCTCAAGATCCCAAGAAGGACGCGAAGGAGTCCGTAACGGCGTTTAGCCTGCGAAGTGAGACGAACGGAACGGGGTACAAGTCTTGCCAGGTCAACATACAGGATGTGGAGTTAGATCTCCTCATTGATTTGGGTGCAAAGGAGTCTATCATCAAAGACTCGACGTTGACGTAACAAATTTCCTCACAAAAGCTTGAGAGTCCTATTCAGCGCCTGGTCTGTTACAACAACGAAGAAATCGAGGTTCTTGGGGTCGTCAAGTTGTCAGTGGAGTACCACGAACAACGCGTGGAGAGTTTTCCGTTCTGTTACCTCGCGCGGAACCAGTCTTATGAGAACTGATCTCTTCAACAGACTCGGGTTTCAAGTCACCCATAACGGAGTGCCAGTACTATCCTTCGACCTTGCTTCAAAGATTCCTGAAGCTTTTCGAGAGTTTGGTAAAGTTATCGGGTATAATCACCGTCCTAATGTAGAACTCGCTATTTTTAATCAGTGCTGCGTTGCCCGTGTGCCGTAATTTCCGAGTCCTTACAAGCGCGACTGCTTCGCATGGCTCATGACGGTCATCCCGGTATCGTACGCATGAAGCAGAGATGTAGAGAGGCAGTTTGGAGGCCGAAGATGAACACTCACGTGAAGCAGTTGGTTCTTCACTGTGAAGCTTGCGCACGAAGAGGAAAATCAGTCAAGCCTGTGCAATCTCCTTTGCAACCCATTCCATGGCCCACTCGCCCATGGCAACATCTTCAGATAGATATTGCAGGAGAATTCGTCGCCGCTCCGTCCTCGCGTAAGTATATGATTGTTGTCCATGATCTCCATTCTAAGTTATCTTAAGTATCCTACACTAGTTCCGTCACTTCCGGTACGGTTATAAAGACAGTAGATGAATTGTTCACCAGATGGCGATTACCAGAAGCTGTCACTACTGACAACACAAATTGGTGTTAAAATATATCCAAGAAGGAAGTAATATTATCAGGAGTTCCACAGGGGTCGGTGTTAGGACCCCTACTTTTCCTCATCTATATAAATGATATATCTAATAGCTAATCGATTTAAATTTTACTTATTCGCAGATGATACTAATCTCTTATATGCTGATAAAAATCTTAAGTTACTCGAAACCATAGTAAAGAACGGGTCTCTGTAAGAATCAAACATCTTGGGAAATGAACATTTTCAAACCCCCTTCAAATTTTGCATGCAGTTAGGCACTCAGGGGGGATGCACAAAAATGCCCTTTTTAAGGTTGCAACAGTCTTGTTGCCATGGTAACAACGACTGCTTGTTCGAGGCCTGGGGCCTCATTTTCATACAAAAACATCGCAAAAAAGTGTAGTGTTTATTTCCCTATCTCAAGCTAAATATAATATTACAGATTGGTACTTCTAGCATACATAGTGACATCATTCGTCTTTACTTTGATGATTTCAATTTTCGCTGGGAGTGAATGTGAACACACTAATAGATTATTCATCTTGGTACAGTTTTGATCACTTTTTGCTGTAGGGTAAAACAGGGAAAACGTTTGTCTAAATTTCTCCAAAAGTACACCGATTCTGGAACTGAAACTACGCACTTAGTTGGTTATAATATTGTAGACTTTACATATGTAAAAACCTCTGCGGGACGGCCTCTACTTTTCATAGTGGCAATTCGCGAACGAAGCTCAAAAATCTGATATTGCATAAATTGGCAATGTTTACATCTAATGTTCTCAACCACAAACGTTTCAGACAAATGAAACGTGCAATACTTTGAAAGAATGTTATCTTCTAAGCAATATCCCGAGGCCTACTCTGGGACCTTAAGTTGCCTTAAGTCGCCTTAAGTTGCCTTAAGTCGCAACATTATAAGGGTTTATAATTACACTTTATAATTAACCAATTTATATAGCGCATATTTACATGTGCTGATCAATAGCGCTTATTAGATATTGTTATTAAGGCTGAGATCGGACGTCAGCATATCAGGCGCCTCTGGCAGCTGCTTCAGTCCATGTAACAATCTCACCTTCCCACCCATCCCCCAAATACCCACCCATCCCACCCCAGGGGAGGACATACACCACACAGATATCTCGTGCATGGGAAATTAACATCTGCTACCCCTAACCCTGCAGGAGACGGGGCCTACAGTTTATTCATCCTTATCTGAGGAGACTAGAATATCTATCCATTTCTTGATATTATAGAAAGGTAGCAAATTCTCCTCAGTTATTTTAAGACCATGAGTATTGGTCCGGCCGGGGCTCGAACCCTCAACCTCCTGCACATCACAATCCGGTGTCCTAACCAACTGAGCTAACCGGGAGGAGGGTTCCACCCTAATCCCAATTGACCCNGTGACGCTGGATTTTTCCATGAAGTTTCCATCAGGTCGCTCCAAAGAAGACGAGAAATGGACATTTTTCGATATTTCATCAGATTTCCGCGCATTCTGAGGTAAAAACAACCAATAAAAGGGGAAAACCATGATTGAACGTTCTTAAACAGTGAGAGTGAGTATAAATCACAACTTGTCAGCGGTAGTACTACATGTAAAACCCACCACTCGCGCGAAAACTATCATAAAGTGGAGATTTTGAACAACTCTGTAACCCCTCATTACAGCAAATGGAACAGGGATTTTATCACAATAATTTCCCACAAATTTAGCTTTTTTCAGGGAATCTTTTACATGCTTGAACATTATTTTGGCTTTGAGCCTTGACAATTCTTTTCTTGATATAAATAAAATGCTATAATAAGTGCCTACAAAATTATAAAGGTTCTTTTTTTCGGTGTCGCTTGGACCGAGTACATATGAATGAAATTGACTCAATTTGTCTCAAAGCTCAAACAGTCATTCGAGTTTGCAGTTGAATGGTTAGCTTCAACGAGCGATCCACATTTTGTGGAGTGGTTAGCTTCAACGAACGATCCACATTTTGAATCTATGATTGCAAGCTTTTCTTACGCCTCAACGGGCAAATGTAATCCAATAGTCGAATTATTTACCTTAAAGGGCAAAGATTTTGACTCAACGATCAAATTTAACGCCTCAAAGGGCGAAGAATTGTGTGAATAATTTTCCGGTGGTATCGAAATCGCTTTCGACATCATGGCTTCACACCTTCCTCTCTTTTTCTCCCGAGACCAGCAAGCTGCAGTCGGCAGTTTACTCCGAATAGAAGCATTTTTGCCTAATACTCCACTGCTGCTGAATGCACTAAGAAAAAAATGATCTGCATGAAGTAGGATTTCGTCGATATTTTGGCACCTCCATTCGCGAATCGGCAAAAATTGCTCACATAATAGAGCAGCCAAACACATAAAAATCTCTTGTCTTCCTCGAGAGTCATCACCACACCGTTCATGACCTTGATGAATACTTCCACAAGAAATTTAAGACATATCTAATAAAAACTCACCTCGTTTATCGTGTCTTTGATTTCTAGCAGAGCGGGACGGCTGTACACAGCTATCGCTCGAAATCCTTCGATACTTCCACGTGCATTTTACATGATGGCATCACAAGCAGCCCGGATATAAAAACGCAATAGTCTGCGCACGTCTCCGATCTTACATCCGACAAATTTTGACTTTTTCTCGCTACTGTAAAGAATAGGCTGCCGCCTCGCTGGGGCTCGCCAGCAATTATTACCTGCAAAATATGTTTCTGCTGAGAGTTTCCTGAGACTATGCAGGATACTACTGTATTTCTATTGGCGGTCGGCAATTTGATTTTTTCAGAGTGTTGACATAATTTGACATGTGGTCACCCAAAGGCGTGAATTGTTGTGAAAATTTGGAAGCAAAAACCAAAAAGCAACCTAACAAATCGTGTGGGAATTACGTTTTTCAAAATGGATCCCTCGCAAAGGCCTCCGACGTAATGCGTCACGTTAAAATTTTGATCAACAAAGAAATTGACAGATAAATTGCAAATCAACCAATGAAAAAATCGAAAACTCCGCTCACGGTTTTGAAGACCAACCCCTCAGATTTGAAATTGTGCAAAGTTTTATTCGTGCGGTTGAAATTTGATATGCGATTAACTCACTCAAAGAAACATCATCCATTTCGGATTGTCGCGCTCGGTTTACGATTAGATCGAGCTAAAACATGATAATTTTTGTCGAGTAGTGCATTTCATAACTTTTTTATTGATGCATAAGTTGGTGGTTGTGCTTAAATCGCGCGTTTGTTTTCTTTTTTTTTTTTCCTTGTGCGGAGGACATCCTCTTAGATACTCTCAAACAAGAGTTCCACCTGATTATTTCTTCGCTGAAATTCATTTTAATTACATGGACTAGATAAGCTAAACTTAGGCGACAATTTTAAGATATCAAAACGTGAGAAACATTTTCATTTAAAATAATTAACGAGAAATGTGTAAAATACTATCGGGTTCATAAATTAACCTAAGTTCGCCAGCACAAAGAAAAAAAGGCAGTTTAAGACTGAATGTGAGGTAGCAGGTCACCTTAAATAGTTATGATAGCAAACTAATTGAGTGATCATTATTATCGATAATTTTTTATGATGGTGTTGTTGCAGAGCATCTGTCCCACATGTAAAAAAGAAATCCTGTCACATCCAAATATTTATGTGTACACTGTTCCACAAGAAAAAGATGATTCAAGAATATAGTAATTGACACTCAACCAATAATTAAATAAAAAATAATAACAACAATGACAACAAAAGTAATAGTATTGATTAACAAATAGAGAAGCCTTACTTGCTGCGAAAATTTAGTGGCTCTTTTGGCCATTAGTCGCTGGTAAAATGCTCTTTCTTCCAATAAATAATTTTTTTTCAAAGTTTCTAGGGTGGGCAGATCAAATTCTGCAAGGAAAAGTCTCGTTTTCAATTACGTGCCTGAGAAGTTACTGTAAAGTTATTTTGAGATGTATACCATCTTATGCTGTGTCACGGCAAGAACTGAAAAAATTACATCTTCGGATCTACCGGGCATAATTCACTGATTCAAACGCTAAAATACTCGCTCTTCAAAGAATAAATTGTTCCTTTAATTTTTCATGATGCGCCGATCACACCCTTTAGGATGTGATGCGATGCAAGCTATAGCATTCAAATAATTTTTTGTTCACAATCCTGAATTGATCAGATGTTTATCGCTTGTTGTACTGAAACAAAAAAGTAAGTAGCACCGGAAAACAGTGTGGGCACGTATAACATTCGATGTGATTCATCGCCAAGCGTTGAACGACCGAAGATGTTCCGAAAACAAAAAAAAGCTAACGGCGAGAAATGTCGGGTAAAACTTAGCAGACTTCATTGTGGGCTTAGGGGTAGTTCGTATTCTATTGTTACAATCACTCAGTCACTCACTCACCCAACAGGACATTATGGCTTCGCCTCCATATGAGGCAGTAACCATAAAAATGTGATAAGATGTTTTTTCTGCCACGCACACAAGCGTCAATGCGTGAAACCAAATATTTAAGCAAATCAGTATTCTAGGAAGTGTTTGTGAAATCAGAAAAGGGATTCAGAGTGGATTAAAAAATTATGAAGTACGTAGGAAATTGGTTGAGAGCACAATCATACTTTATTGAAGATTTGATGTTAAAACCTATTCGATCGAAATAATCACTACAACACATCTGCTTGCTATCAAAAAGTCAAGGAAATTCATGTCCAAGCCGGCTATTTCTTAAGAATTGTGTACGTGAAAAACAAAACAAAGCAAAACACAATAATCTTAAGGATGGGTCAGAAAGTAAAGATTAGCTCTCTAAATCTCATTTTAAAATCGGTGTGTTAAATGCCTTTCGTGAAGAAACTGATTCGTCCCTCATTCAAAATCATTTTGAATCAGAGCAATTAACAAGCTGTTAATTGCTTCCTCTGAGTGCTTCGTAACAAGGCCGATTTACAATGTCATTAGCAGTCCTGGTGATACAGTCCAGCACTTTTGATGATATTGTCAAAGTCTGCATAATGAGTAATTGAAAAGCATGGAAAAATCCATGAGTGCATCCCTTATGGCGTGTGGCTGAGATGGTACAGTTCACTACCCACAGGGCAGGCGAAAAGAGAGGGGCAGTGCATTGTTCTTGGCTGACAATAGAAACTAAGTTCATTCGCTAACCATGTTTCCACGTAGGTTTAGTCTATTGTCTTTCAGCTGCATAAGCATTGAAGTCTAACGCGGCATCTGATTAAATTACTCCTCACCTTACTAAATGGCATTGTGGGGGGTGCTTAATACCAATCAAGATCTTCTTCCTCTGCATTTGCGTTAGCAAGCTGCACATTATAAGCATCCGCACCAAAGAAGTTGAAAGCCAAGTATAATTGAACCTTACGATTAAGAAATCCCGATCCCATAAGAGGCGTTTCACAAAGATCAGCACGAAAGGGGACATCCAGGTCTTCATTAATCCTGATGGTTCCGACTTTGTTCCCACACTCTACAATTAGACCACTGAGAGAGCGAAGCTGCTTAGTGTGCTGAGAGGCAATCGAGCGTTTCATTCTGACATTACTGAGCTCGGGAATCTTTTCATCAAGGTACACCAAATTTCCCATTCCTCTTCCTTCATGTCCTAACCACACCACTGGTCTGTCGGGATGACGGCAACGTCCAACATCGGAACGGTTGATCGCTTTAATTGCCGAGTTGAGGTCATCCTTTGCGTTCCTCATGATCTCACTGTAGCTGTGAGAGTTTCCTTCTAGTAGGCGCAAACAAGCAACAATGTACTTGTATAAGTAGGAACGAACAGATTTCTCTTTTAAGCACCAGTGGAAAATCTTGCTCTCTGATTCTGTAAGATCCACGTGAGTGAATGATGCAAGCTTTACCCACAGTCTCATTGTTTTCTCAATGTTAGAATCATACTTTAATGCCTCATTCAAAAGTTCTATCGACCGGGGAGCAATCTCGGCGATTGGTCGACGTTGTCTGGACTGTATTTCCATCCACATTATGACGATTTGACGATTAATCGATCCTCTGCTTGCCCTATCATTTTTTCTTAGTTTTAACAGCAAATTTAAGGTCTCTTTCATTCTTTCTCCATTGAATGAGTGACGACCGATACAGGCCAGACGCATTCTCCAATAGGAATAGGCATCACTATCAGGTACAGACTCAAGTGTGTCTGAGGTGTTGGATATTGCATCAATGATAAACGGATGGGCAACTCCAGATTTGACGTAACTGAGGAAACTTCCTGTTTTCTTTTCAATATATTCAAAGACCTTGCACATCATTCGCACTTCCGGAATGTAGCCATCTACTAGGTCAGGGGCTATGCTCACTGCACGTCTGAAATTCTTGACACCTTCATCGGCCATCTCTATTATAGTCTCAATGTTAGCATTGTTGCTAGCGAGGTTATGAACCTCACGACTATATACTACTCCTTTCATCTGGGCGAACTGGCCACGAACGAAACGAGAGGAAAAATCCTCTGTCAATGAGATTCCTTTATCTGTGTACTTAATGGCCAGCTGAAAACCGGCTGATTTCTTCTGAATACTGTAATAGCGGCCCAGGTGCACCTTGAAAAACGGATTATGGGGGAATAAAGATATTGCTGTTTCAAAAAGCCTTATAGCATCTTCGTCACAAGGGATATCCGAAATTAGTTGAGAGAAGTAGTTGTGTGAATTTTCGTCTGTGACTCGATTCAGCAGCATGTCGCTCACAACCGCTTCGGACATATGATTGAAGCAAATTATTGCTTTGTCAGCGAGCTGATTCCTCCAATTGTCGGGATGTGTTAGAGGACATCTCTCATCATCTGGCATTGTTAGCAAATGACGAAGCATCTCTGCTGCAATAAGGTCATGCCTTGGTCTCCACTTCCCATCCTCTTCCAAAAGCAATTCCTGTGATAATTCGGGAAGCACTGATTCCAGGGACAGAACTTCTCTCATTGGAGCATTTAGTAACTCTGCAAAATCATTTGCGAAGATCGAGCAATGACCATAATGGTAAGCCATAGCCAAGAAAAGAAGGATATGGCGCTCGTTTTTGCTAAGATTTTGCAAGCATTCTTTAACAAATGGCTCAAGGGCAGTAAACCGGTCTTCAAAGGTAACCAAAGCATAGTAGAATGGTATTTGAAGCTCTTTCTTCCCACTGTCGTTGAGAAGAGAACGGAGTGCTCTTTCTTTCCCTTTTTTCTGGGCACTGTAGATTCTTACAAATGCGGTAGCTTCAACTTGTTCAAGTGTATCTGCAACGAGAACCGGAGAGGTCTTTTCAGACTTTTGAAACCATTCGGAAGTGTTCCGGTCGCGGTGCTGGCTGGAGTGAATCACCTCCAGAATGACACAGGGAATCCTATCATTGGATAGATTGTTGTAGAGACTATCAACATCAAATTCATCAGTTTGAATATGCTTGCAGTCAACGAGAATTATAACAGGTAGTTTGCAAAACTCTGATAACACTTTGATGGCAGGAGCAATTTCCGAATGGCTGACTGACCGGAGCAAAACACAAGGATATCTCTCGTGGTAGTCAAAAAGAATCTTTCGGGCTGTGGTAGTTCCACCAGCTCCTCTTTGATGTGGCAACTTCAGCTTCATCGTTCCTGCCTTCAGGATGAGCTCATCAATTCTTCCATGCAATGCTTCCCAGTTTTCACGTTCCACAGCATAACCCATCTGGAGAGCATACCAAGAGATCTGCCCACCCCGATAGAAATGGAGTGCATCATCATCAAATTCAGGAGTACTTCCACAAGACTGATAAAGAACTTCCATTTCCGCATTAATCCAGCGACGTTTCTGGGGCAAAATCTTGAAGGCTAACCTATGAGACTCACTCTGATCTGCGACTGGCAAAGAAAAATCTTGGTCCTCTCGAATAAAGGGGCACGCGCTGATACATTGACAAAGGGCATTGGTAACTTCTTCCAAATCAAACTTGTGGACTTCGACTCCCCAATCTTCTGCGATGTCTTCCAGAAGTTCGTCTTCTCCTGATGCTGAGGAAACTATCACGAGCTTTACTTGACCATGAAGGGGTGAGCCCTGAACAACAGTAAGAATTTTGGACAGATTCTTACTCAAAATCCTTTTTCCGGAATACCACAACACTACAAAGGTGATAGGACCAGGGTAAGTCTTCATTAGAGACAAGAAAAATTCCCTCATCCACTCCAAATTGTCTTTAATATTCCGTTTGCTTTCTGGCATACCATCAAGGAGAACCCATGGGATACCATTTGGTAGCATAACTGAGACCTTCTTACGTTCTTCGTCTGGCAAAGGTGGCAATATTCGGCAAATCTTCATGCCCATTCTTTCACAAAAGTTCTCGCAACTGGCGAGATAGCCACTCTCAACGCTTCTAACATCAAAGTCGAACACAGCAGCCCACGGCACCTGTGCAAAGTACTGAATAAATGGCGATTTGGAAGCATTCTCAGGAGAAAGAAACAATACATGCTTTCGTCTTCTATTCAGTAAATCAACTTCAACCTCGATTAATCTTCGAGCCGAGTCTGTGCATTGAGATGGAAGACCTATAGGTTGTGTAGATGACGGCGAACGCACAAGGAAATCCCCAAATTTTCCAAGATCTAACAGAAGTTTACTGCATATGGATTCCCATGTAAATTTGGAATTCCACTGTTCTCGGAGGGATGCAGCCAAACTAAATGCTTTTTCGCGATCATTAACTATCTCTTCGATAGCGTCTGACCAATCCTCAGTTCTATCTCCTAGTGTAGTCCTTTCTGTGGCGCAAACAAACTTTAAAAAGCGTTCATCAAACTCTTGCTGAATGCATTTTGCAAGGCCACTAGATGAAGTGATTAAAACTGGAACCCCAGCAGATATGGCTTCCAGTGCCAGTACTCCAAATCCATCAGACAGAAATGGAATAAGTACTAATGAAACTCCACGTATTTCAACACCAATCGTTTCTAGACTCACTTCAAATGGTTTTACTGCGACTTCCAAACTAGACGTGCAACAGCGAGTCTTCAGTGTGTCTTTAAGCTCTTCAATTTTTCCTCGCTCAGTGCCAAGTACAGTTACGTGGATAGGATATGATCCTTGTCTGCAGTCCTTCAGAGCATCTATAACCATGCCAAGTCCATTCATCGAAAAATTATCGTTCCCCAAAAGGGTTCCCAAAATGAGACACCTACTTTGTGGAGTAGGTATTTTGTTTCGAGGGGCCACATCTGGCAATCCAGGTATGATCACCGATATACCACGATTTAGGATCATGCCCCACTGTTCCGCGAGAAGAGCTCCTATCGCCGCGACGAAGTCAGCTTTCCTTGCGATATCCCTCTCGGTTTCTTTTCCCCCTTCAGAAGTTAAACGCACATGGCAATCGTCGTCTTCTACCGGCAAATTGTGAAAAACGTGAAGACGTTTGCAATTTAAACGTTTTGCTTGGATAGCTGCTGCAGCACCCGACAACATTCCGTGCCCAACCACTAACTCTGCTTTAAAAGGGAACTCATTATGAAGGAACAGCAGGTGTTCATCTCCCTGTGGAATACCTGTTTGATCACTCGCCTTAATAAGGATCACACCATCTTTTGCTGCCGCACTCTTTTCTTGACCAGTCGCATCTAGTACCAAACAAGCGACATCTACGTCTTTCTTTTTTGCGAAGCCTCGGCAAAGATGTGCATTGACTGTGCAAACACTGCAATGCCAAACTGACCATCTACGGCAAATCAGTAGGATTCGTCGGGGATATGCTTCATCTGAAATTCGAAGCATAAATGATTTTCTGTTTTTGTTTTTAATATCAAGAACTTCCTCTATGCAATTCTTTGTTAAATTTTCTAAGGGAACGGAAGAAACCAGTAAAAGATGCACCAGTGGTATCATCATTGCCTTTGTCTCCTCAATCAGGTCATATCTAGGCTGTACCTCTAAAGTGTTTTGCAAAGATTCATCTTTGTGAACATTTTTTTTGTTCCCCTGCCACTTTGAAAATTAACGGTACCACTAAAATAACAGTAATGAGTCAGTCTGAATCAAAAGGAACAAGCAAGAACTCCTACGGCGCAGAAAACGCGGATAACCAAGTCGTTACTTGTTTCGTTTTATCCAATACTGGATTAGAGGAGGTGCCGGTTTCCAAAACCAATCAGAGAGCTCAGTAAATTCAAGCCCATACAAAACCAGATTACTTTCGAGATTTAGTTCTACATTGGATGATGGTGGGGCGTTAATTTACATGACCAATCACTGTGCATAATGGAACAAAACAAATGTAATTATTTCAACACTAAATCGAAAATTACGCACTTAATTCAATGAAAATAAATCATTAAAATAATCTTGTACACATAAGATGCCCAGGAACAAGGTTGATAATGAACCTAGTAATGTGTACTGATCTACTCGGAAAACCCGATGATCTATGGCTATCTCTTTGACGAGCGCTTTTTGTAGGGAGTGAATGGCCACAAAACTAGTAAGTGAGTTGAAACAAAATAGCACGCAAAATAATCACGTTGAAGCCTCGACGAGCTTTTTACAGTACCGACAATGATATACATACACACACACACACACGCACACACACGCACGCACGCACACACACACACACACACCCCTAACCCTGCAGGAGACGGCCGGGGCCTACGGTTTATTCGTCCTTATCCGAGAAGACTAGAATATCTATCCATTTCTTGATATTATAGAAAGGTAGCAAATTCTCCTCACTTATTTTAAGACCATGAGTATTGGTCCTCCCGCACAACACAATCCGGCGCTCTAACCAATTGAGCCAACCGGGAGGCGGTGAGGCGATTACAAACACACCTGCTGAAGATTCAGGAAGAACAGCTTTCTCTCTGGGTAACATCGTGACCACAGGTTTACGGATAGACACTTCTTCCTGCAAAAAGGATTGAGGAGAATACCAACGATAAGAAAGACCAGCTAATCTAAAAAACTTGAGCTGTTCCCTCAGCTTTAAATAGGGTGCATCTTGTTCTGTAGTTAGATTAAAAACACTTAAAAACAATTGTAACTTGTTGTAGCCCTAAGTCCATACATCCACCAATAAGCATGACGGTAGTAGAAAAATTCTAACAGATTCACGACAAAAAAGAGCAAATGCAACTAACCCTTCTCTTATCTAGTTTACTACTGCCACTACGATAGAGTGTTTCAGTATTCTCATCATCTTCTTCATCGGCTACGGGTAAATGATGCTTCGACTTGTTCGAAATTTGTTCCCTCCTATCAGCGTCTAAAAGTTTATAATCATTAAACACTCCATCCACAATTTCTTCTCCTGACTTTCTGATAGCTCCTTTATTCTCCAGTGTTTGAAATAATACATCGTTATTGCTGCAAAAGGGACGCAGAATGATTATATCATTTTCAAGCTAACTAGGCCTCTTATAATCCTCTTCAAGAAGCTTTCATTCAAAAGGCTTTAGTAAGTGGTTAAAAACTTTATTTGGTTCTTGTATTGTAAACGCTTGCCACCGTTCTAAAGTATCCCTGCTTCTTTATAGACCAATAAAATTTCCGTCAATATTAAAAAATCTCCATCTCCCTCTCCCCCCCAGCCCGAAAAAAAAAAACAATCGCAATGACACTATCCCAATTATTTCTATTCAGAGAGGTTCCATCCAATACGAAACAGGTCATTTAGCATATAGAAAACATATAGAAGATATATAAATTACTTCATGGTTGGTGAGCGCGTACGATTTTTATTCACGAGTTGTGAAGAATCGCAAACGAACGAACGAGTCTACGAGCGAGTGAGTTTTTGGTTCTCCACAAAAAGCGAACTAATCATGAAGTAATTTGTGTATCATATTAGTACTGAAGTATTACAAATGTTTGTAACTAAATCACAGTCAACTGACTATAAAACACAAAGAAGTCGCGAACTCGATATCATTTAAACCCAATCAATGCTGTCAAGACGCCTAAAATACTGCACTTGAATATGCTTAAAAAAGGCGAAAGGACTGTAATTTGAAAATAATTCATTTCAAGAAAAAAGATTACAAGCCCCATTGAAAGAAATTTGGGCTTACGTTTGACAATTGAAGGGTTTCTGAAAAGATTTTATTTCATAGATACTGAGATTTACACACGACAAAAAGCCCGCGTAAAACTAGTACGTTAAATCCATTAGTTAATAGGAAACGCGAACGATGAATTTTCACTAGTGAAAAAACGTCGTTCGCCCAATCACAAACGCGAAC